CAGAAGTTCTTCTAGATTCACCTTTCTCTACTGCACACCCATATTACACTTGTCTACATGAGACTGATATCTGTACCATGTGTCTCAATGACACCCCCCAACATAAAAAAAGAATCTACACAAAGAAATGTGCATCTACATAAATAAATGAAGAGCACTGGGAATTGTAAGGATGTAGTAAATATAAGAATTTTTTTGCTATTATTTAAATCTGTTTAAAAATAATTGTTTAGAATACAAATAATAACAATATGTTTTGGAGTTATAACATATGGAGAGGTTATGTTGTTAACATTAGCACAAACTCCGGTAGAGAAGAAATGAACATATAGTGGTGTAAAGTACTTATCTACCTTATCTATACATGAAGTAATGTAATACCACTTGAAGTTACAGTGTGATTTTTTAAGTGCATACTATAAAGCCTAAAGTATCTACTAAAATTGAATCATAGGCCTAAGTGTAAAACATAAAACTATACAACTTCTAGAAGAAAACATCTTTGTGACCCTAGGTTAGGCAAAGATTTTGTAGATATGACAACAAAAGCATAAAAGGCAATAATTTGAACTCATCAAAAATTTAAAAGGTTTCCTTCGCCTTTTGGGCATATAGCTCAGTGGTAGAGCACGTGCTTTGCGTGTATGAGGTCCGGGGTTCAATGCCCAGCAATTCCATGGTTTTGTTTATTTGATTTCCCCAAGTACTTCTATACCACACATACCTTCAGTAACGCAATGCGGAAGCCTCTCTCCTACTTTATGCTTTCAGTTCCCTTTTTTTTTTCACCTGCTCACACGGAAATTAAGCATGATTTCTGTGATAGCAGAAAGAAGAAACAAAGAAAAAGAAAAGGCCTATTCAACATCACGAATGCAATAGCACTAACCAGCTTTTCACCTATTCTTTCTTTCTACAATGTTACTTAGGAGAACGAAGAGAAACCAAGAAGAAGAAAAAAAAGACAAGCATGGACATTTTTTTTTTTTTTTTTTTTTCCGGACTCGTTATGGAAGTGATAAAAGCATCCCAGGGACAGAACAGCTATTAACTATGCTCTTCCCCTGCCGGCCAATCCAATTCTATTAGCTCTGTGCTATCCAGGACTTCCTTGCATTTTTTCATTCATTGATGGCACTCTGAACATTCCCAGGACTCTCCGGCTTTATTCTTTCAAACATCTATATGCATAGCAGACTTTCCTGTTGTGATAGCTTTGCTCAGTCGCCCATCCTTGCTTCGCTGTTCTGCTTTTGCTGTTGCCCTGTTTATTCCTCTAGTCTGGAAAATCGTCGATTGATTAAAGTTAATAAAATTTTGCACGTTTTTTTCTTTTTAAAAATCCTTTGTGAACACAGTTCTTAAGGGAGGGTTACAGATGGAGGTGTGGAATCAAAATTGAAGACAATCTCAGAGCTCGTGATGCATTAACGAGGATTGAGAGTCAACTGGAAAATGGATGTTGTCACAGCTTCCAACAAATACAGTGTGAATTCAACTCTCCGAAGGCTGCCTCTGGACTGAGCAGCACTTCATTTGAGTCAGTATTGCGGGAGAAAGTAGAAATGTGGCAAACATAGCTCGGTTGGAAGAGCTCTGGATTAAAGGTCTAGACTGAAATCAGGGATCCTTCTCTATGACTGAACAGTCCTCAATGTTGTAAGTCTGTGCTTTTTGCTGGTGGAGGAAAGTAGCTTTCATGCAGTTTGCTTGTGAATGGAGCTTGGAGCAGGCTAACAGGAATGGGAAAGTCCAAGGATAAGAAACTGTGTCATTTGGACTATAATCTTAGGGTCTTAGTATACTGTTATAAATGTATTAGGAAACTGTTAGCTGCCAAACAGTATCCAGTTTAGTGATTTCACGAAAGTGGTGGAATTTAATCCAGCGATCCTTCTCCAACCAACAGAAAATGAAACCAACAAACTGAAAACAAAGTGATATTTTATATATAAGCCAACAGAAGTACTTCACGGGCAGGGGGTGTAGCTCAGTGGTAGAGCGCGTGCTTCGCATGTACGAGGTCCCGGGTTCGACCCCCGGCTCCTCCAGCTGTACGTTTTCTTCATTCTCCTTTCTCATTCTTTGCATGCGTTCGTCGCGCTTCCCCTACTTCTATAAAAAGAGGAGAGTGTCAAATGTGTTGCTTTTAATACTATGCTGTTTATTCGAACAGTCATCTGTGGCTTTTTATAAAACTTAGCGTGAGAAGAATATATTGCTAACGTGAGTGAAACAAGCAGACGTTGAAACGGGGCACAAATTACTCCACAAGGAGTTCTTGTGGGTCATGGTATTATCATTTCTGACTATATGTAGATATCGACTTGTAGCCCAGCATAAAAAAAAAAAAATCATAAATAGATAAATTTTCGGCCAGGTCTCCTTGGCAGGAAGCATGAACCCTGCAGTCACACTACGGACCCATGCATTAGGCGGTATCGCTAAAGAGCGAGACAGAAAAAGAAAGTAAACAAGAAAAGATTTTGTGAAATAAGAAAAAAATCAGAGAAAATTTTCCTTGCATCTCTGTTTTATGAGCATTAGGTCGTCCAAGGCTGAGGAGCAGAAAATCTTCCCACTGGTTTCCTTACGCGTCTCTCCTCGGGGCTCCTCCAACAGCCGCCTCTGCCGCTGAGAATTGAATTGTGAACAACAGAGGAGCTGGGCATTCAGTCCTAAGTTTTTCTGAGTGAGTGAGTAGGTAAAGATTGTCCAAATGGAAGGTGGCACTCAGCGCTTTGCCTCGCGAACGCTTAAAACATAACTTGGATGACTGAAGACAGCCAGCTCTAGTTCGCTGGAACAGCTTACAGCCTGCAGCAAGCGATCTACTAAAAGGTTTTAAAGGTTAGGTCTTGGCTGGGTGCGGTGGCTCACGCCTGTAATTCCAGCACTTTGGGAGGCCTCGGTGGGTGGATCACCTCAGGTCAGGAGTTCGAGACCAGCCTGGCCAACATGGTGTAAACCTCTTCTCTACTAAAAATTTAAAAATTAGCCGGGTGTGGTGGCTGGCGCCTGTAATCCCAGCTACCGGGGAGGGTGAAGCAGAAGAAACGCTTGAACTCGGGAGGCAGAGGTTGCGGTGAGCCGAGATCGCACCCTTCCAGCCTGGGAAACAGAGAGAGACTCCATCTCAAAAAGAAAGAAAAAAAGGTTAGGTCTTGGGTTTTGGCAGCAGTTATTTTTATTGCATATTAAATCGACTTTCACAGGAAATGTACACAAAATATGTAATAGAAAACACCAAATAACTATGTAATAGAAGATACCAAATAATCCCCCTGCCCCATTCCCCAAACCAAAACATCTAGCTGAAGTAAAAATCTCAGAAGCATTGCCAAATAGCGTATTTAAATCATTTGCTTTCTACATTTCCTCGATGAACTTCAGGGTTTTTTGTTCCTGAGTCTTTAAATGAATTAATAATACTTCACATATCACTGCACCAAAGGCTCCAAAGGCAGATGTGGCCAAAGGGGTGTGGATGAGGAATAGGTCTAGAAAAAGTTGCCTGAATTTCTAGAAAGAAACACTTGTTAAAGGGTCAGTAAAAATTATGGTATATCATTGTTCTGCACTTTCTTTTCCGTACAAATCGTGTGTTGGTGAATGTATCAAAATCGGTATCAGTTTTCTTTGTCAAAGCCTTTGCATGCTACCTTTTGTATTAGAAAAGGAAGTTTTAAATGCGAAGTTGAAATTCCAAATATAGCATCAAATTTCCTTTGTTTGAAAAAAACTAAGAGCATACTCCTCCCAGTTCCTTAAGGAGCAGGAGAGGGAGCAAGGATAACTCACAAGCTCAGTTTTCTCTGACATCCAAACCCAGCTCAGAGGTTTTAACCAGCTAAGTCACAGAGTCCCCTGGCAGCGCTAGTCCCATCAGGTATGTTACGGTCATGCTGCTGTCTGAATTATTTCTGGGCAAAGACAAAATGATAGACCTTCTCTTGACTCCTGATCCTTGCCTCCTGATTGGCACACAGGGTCGCTAAATCAGTGAAAAACAGCTTGGACCACCTTCCATTTTGCCAAGCATGGATTCTCAGGGCATCTTTTACCTCTTGCTGTTTATAATCCTACAGTATTTAGTGTGGAGCCCTCAACACACCTCTCAGGCAGCTATCAAAAGCCATGAAAGACAAAACATCCCCATGAAGCAGTAGAACTCTGGCCATTGTAATCCATGAGGGAATCCATATTTTGGACACCCCTTTCCAGCAAAAGGGAATAGCTAAGCCCTAGGACCTCAAAGCTTCACACACAAACAAGCCTGGCCAAAGTTAACTCACCTGGCTTCAGGTTGGAGCTCCAGTGTGTTTCTCTTTCTCCAGGTAGTCTCCACCCTATCACAGATTTCCCACACCATTGCACCAGGGCCCCTGAATTTTCACTGTTTCTGACTGTCCGCCCAATTAGAAATGCTAGGAGGAGGTACAAAAAAGCGGAACTCAGAAAGTTGTCTGGGTAAATCTACATCCAGATGGAAGAAGAAAACAAGTCCCAAATGAAAACCTATGTGTGCTTTTCCGCGTTACCCACAGAAGGGTCCCTACAGCGTTGTTCTGGATTCCCGCTGTAACTTAAAGGGAAACTTTCACAATGTCCGGAGCGGTTGATGTCCTGCAAGTGGAGGAGGAAGATGTCCTTAAGTTCCTTGCAGCAAGAACCCACTTTGTTGGCACCAATCTTTACTTCCAAATGGAACAGTACATCTGTAAAAGGAAAAGTGATGGCATTGCTCTTGCCATTGCTGCCATTGAAAACCGTGCTGATGTCAGTGTTATATCCTCCAGGAATACTGGCCAGAGGGCCGTGCTGAAGTTTGCTGCTGCCACTGGAGCCACTCCAGTTGCTGGCTGCTTCACTCCTGGAACCTTCACTAACCGGATCCAGGCAACCTTCCGGGAGCCACGGCTTCCTGCGGTTACTGACCCCAGGGTTGAGTACCAGTCTTTCACGGAGGCGTCTTTTGTTAACCTACCTATGACTGCTCTGTGTAACACAGATTCTCCTCTGTGCTATGTGTACATTGCCATTCCACGCAACAACAAAGGAGTTTACTCAGTTGGTTCGATGTGGTGGATGCTGGTCCCGAAAGTTCAGCGCCTAAGTGGCAGCATTTCCCGTGAACACCCGTGGCAGGTTATGCCTGATCCCTGCTTCTACAGAGATTTTGAAGAGCTTGAAAAAGAAGAGCAGGCTGCTGCTGAAAAGGCTGTGACCAAGGAGGAATTTCAGGGTGAATGGGTAGAAGCAACCACTGAATGGTCTTAAGCTATTCTTGCACAGGCTCTTAGACAACATGGAAATAAGGTTGACGGCAAATAAACGTCAGTTTCAAAGAAAGAAGGAAGGAAGGAAGGAAGGAAGAGAGGGAAAGAAAAGGAAAAGAAAAAAGAAAAGAAAAGAAAGAAAAAAGAAAAACCTAAGTGTATGCTGTCACAATCACTGCTCTAGCAAACTCTTCAGTGGATCATCATGATCAGGAAACTCAGCAGCGCCTTTGTCTCAGGGAAGCTGCAGTTCCGTTCCTGAGACCTACAAAGAAACACATAGGAGGCATTTAAGTTTAAGTGACTTAAACTTCTGTTACAACCTCCTTACTCTTACCCCGTGCTCCTGGAGAGATTCTGAAACCTCAACCATCACAATAGCACAAATAATAGACACTTTCCTCTTGTTGTTAAATTTTGGAGTGTCCAAATATGCCCACATAAATTTTAGGAGGTAATCCTAAACCATTGTGCCTTCTCTTTTACTTTTAACTTTTTCTTGTTTGTGCAAAATCTGTATCTTCCTGAATACGTGAATAAATTAGGTATCAACTTCTTGGTTCCATCCCAAATTTGTCTCCTGTCCCCACCCCCGCTAGAATTAACTGAGTGAGGCTCAGTTGTGGCTGGAAAGTCACTGAGATGGGGGTCTAGAGGCAAGGTGACATTTATAACATAAGTCAACCAGAAACAACCTCCAATAAAGAGTCAAAAGGTTTTAGACTGGAATGTAGTGTTTCCTGAGCCTGAGGAACTGCCCTGAGAACTTCACTGGTATTCCCGTTTGTAACTTACAGCTCCGTAGTGAACCGATAATCACCGGATAGGGGGAAAGATGGGGATCTTTACAACTGAAAGGTCTCCCTCAGATGATTATCATTCAGGCTTGAGAACGCCAAACTAGAAAGTGGAGCTGCAGAAACTGTAGTGAGCTGAGCTGCTGGGGGAAATTTAGGCAGGAGGAAGCAATGGAACCGAATCAACGGGAATAGGAGAAAGTGGAGGTGAAGCTGGAAAGAGGTGGTGAAGAAAACCAGTGGGGAGATAGGAGGAGGCAGGTGGTTGCAGAAGAGGAAGGGACAAAGGGGAGAGCTTGAAGCCAGATCTTTACAGAGGCCCAAGATTTGGATGGCACTGAAAGTGCCCGTATTGCCAATGTCTCCTAGGCTCCTCTATAATGTTTTGTTTTGTTTTGAGACGGAGTATCGCTCTGTCGCCCAGGCTACAGAGCAGTGGCGCAATCTCGGCTCACTGCAACCTCCGCCTCCCGGGTTCAAGCGATTCTACTGCCTCAGCCTCCCAAGTAGCTGGGATTACAGGCGAGCGCCACCACGCCCAGCTATTTTTCCTATTTGTAGTAGAGACAGGGTTTCGCCATGGTCTCGAGCTCCTGAACTCAGATAATCCGCCCACCTCGGCCTCCCAGTGTGTTGGGATTACAGGCGTGAGCCACCGCGCCTGGCCCCTCGGTTCCTCTTTGGCTGTAGGAAACCAGAAGGTCTTTCCATCCTAAGGAAGGTGAACTACAAGTTTCTGTTCCACAGGAAAACATAACCCTTTACGTCCAAGACTGACACCTCTTTGAGAGCGACCTGCGGCTTTTTCCATCTCTGAAAATAATTTTCTCAACTGTGTATTTTGAAAGTCTCGGAATTTCGCCAAAAGCGTCTTTCTTTCGGACAAAATTCTAAACATTCCTTCTTTAGAGAAAGCTGGGATCACAGCGCTCCCATGATTAGTGATTGGACCCACCTTTTGCCGCCCAACCAAGATTCTGTGAGTGGTGGAAATGTAAGGGGAGTATGAGGAAAGGTGGCGGGGAGGAGAGAAATCTAATGGATGTTTTTCAAAGGCAATTTTGTTTTTCTTTCCTGTCTTCCCACCCCCGATTTCTTAATAGTATTGAGAAACGGCAACAAAGGAGAACGAGTCTTATATGGCCGGCATGCCTGTTGCTTCACTGTCAGGGGATCTTGAATAAGCAGCTTCTCTATTTCAGTAAATGACTATAAAGCTGTGCTGAAGCAGTCAGGTTGGGAGGCTGAAGGGGTGTTAGGACCCATAGTACAAATGAATGACTACCAAATGGCTTACCTTCTCTGTGAGTAGAAAAAACACAAGCTAGGGTATGCACAAAGGAAAAAGAAAAGACTGAAACGAAGTATTCAAACACAAGTATTCAAACACTGAAACGAAATGCTCAAAGTACAAGAAAACGCTCGTGGAGGTGCTGGGGATTGAACCCAGGACCTCATGCATGCTAAGCATGCGCTCTACCACTGAGCTACACCCCCACTTGGTGTTCTTTTTTCTTATCGGTTTATTACATAGTGTTATCTAAAGGTGAGGGCTTAGGTGTGATACGTTAAAGTCCACTATGTATGACTCCTGTTTCTGAAATTTCTGAATGGAATCTTGTCTTGACGCTGTGTCAAGAGGAGAAAGGCATTCTGGACGGAAAGACCCTTGGATCCTCCCGTCATCTATTTCAAGGACTGCTTTTAGCCAACTGTCTGTGTCAGTTTCCATTCACCTGGAGCGAAGTCCCAGGATTGAATCTTCTCGTATGCTTGTATGTGTTCAGATTCTCTCCTTTTTTAAAAAAACCTTCTCTGCCTATGAAGCTGCCAACACACACACACACACACACACACACACACACACACGGTTGTGCCAGAGAATATAAAGACTAGTTCTGTGAATGCTGCAGAGAAAACCTAGATCCAGGTGAGGAGATAAGACAAGACGTAGCAGAAGAAAAAGCTTCTTCACAGTAAAGAAAACAATCAACAGAGGAAAAAGGCAAACTATGGAATGGGAGAAAATATTTGCAAATCATTTATCTGATAAGGGATTAATAAACAAAATAAATTTTTTAAACTGCTACAAGTCAACAGCCAAACACACACACACACACACACACACACACATACATACACACACAAACTTAAGATCCCAAATAACCTGATTTTAAAATGAGCAAAGGACTTGAGTAGACATGTCTCCAAAGAAGACATACAAATAGCCACTAGGTATGTGAAGAGGTGCTCTTAACATTTCTAATCAGCAGGGAAATGCAAATCAAAACCACAACAGATATCACCTCACACCTATTAAGATGCCTGTTATTAAAAAGAACTCAAAAGATAAGTGTTAGTAAAGATGTTGAGAAATTGGAACCCTTCTACAACTGTTGGTATCTAAAATGATGCCACCACTATGGAAAATAGTATGGAGTTTCTTCAAAAGATAAAAATAGAATTACCACATGATCCAGCAATCCCACTTCTGGGTATATGTCCCCCAAAAAATCGAAATTTGACTCTCAAAGAAACATATACACTCCCATGTTCACTGCAGCATTATTCACAGTAACCAAGATAAGGAAACAATCCAAATGTCCATTGACAGATGAGTGGACAAAGAAAATATGGTATATACATACAATGGAATGTTATTCAGCCTTTTATAAAAAAAGAAATTCTGCCATTTGTACCAGCATGAATGATTAACCTGGAGGACATTATGCTAAGTGAAATGAGCCAGTCACAGAAGGACATATGTTTCATGATTCCACTTATATGAGGTATCTAAAATAGTCAAACTCATAAAAGCAGAGAACAGGATGGTGATTGTCAGGGACCAGAAGCAGAGGGAAATGGAGAGTTGTTGCTCAGTGAGTTAAAATGTTAGTTATGAAACATGAAAAATTCTAGAGATCTATTGCACAACATAGTGCCTTCAGTTAACAATACTATAATGTACACTTAAAAATTTGTTAAAAAGATAACTCTCATGTTTAAGTCTTCTCACCACCCATGCACATGAAAGAACACAAAGAAACTTTTAGAGTTGATAAATGTGTTTGTTACCCTGATTGTGGAAATAGCATTATAAATGTATGCATATGTCCTCACTCACAAATTGCTTACCTTCAACTTCTGTAGGGGTTTTGCATATATCAACTGTACTTCAATAAAGTTGTTATTAACTCCTGAAAAACAACCATGCAAGCAAAGACAAGAGGTTAATTCACAACGCTTGACAAAAACAAAGAGTGACAAAGGTGGCAGTTTTGCACATGGTTGCGTCCAACATCTGGATTTGGAAATGTGGCAGCGGCTTCATCAGCGACTCTACAGCTCTGTTTTTGTTTGTTTGTTTGTTTTTTATTTTTTATAGAGATGGGATGGGGGAACGGGTATGTCTTCTCCCTATGTTGCCCAGGCTGGTCTTGAACTCCGGGGCTTAAGCGATCCTCCCTCCTCGGCCTCCCAAAGTGCTTGGATTACAGGTCTTTGCCGCCAAGCCTGGCTAGCTCTGGTTTTAAAGACAATACAAAAGAACACGAAGACAGAGGACTCTTTCAGAGCAAATTTTTTTGAGCAAGGAGGAAAGCACAAAGGAAGCTGGGCTCAACCTGAGAAAACCAATTCAGCCTTTGTAAAACCTTCCCTACACCCGCTCGAGTGAAAATTTCATCAGTCCCTGAAGTGCAGAAAGTAAACTCTTTCTGCCTTTAGCCAAAATGTGGTGCGACTGTTGAATCCAGATACAAATATTGGAGAACACTGTAAACCCGGCAGGGGTGTAAGGGAGAGTACGGAGAAGTTTATCCCTAATCTACAGGTTATGTTCTTACTATACTAGAAAGGCAAGTGGCTGGGAACTGAAAAGATCTGAGGAGTGGATGCAAGGGAAGGCTTTGAGAAGGAAGGAAGGGCTCTTGGCGCTAGGAGGGATGAAACTGAGTGGAGGAGAGAAGAAGCAGCGGAGAATAAGGCAGAAGAAAAATCGGGGATGCGTCTTTAAAGATGGATAGTATTGGGACAAGCGCGGAGGAAGAAAGCAGCCATGCGCCGCGTCTCTGCCAAGCTTTCTCTACGCCCTGGGGAAGAGAGAAGGCTCTAGGGGAGTGGTTTCAAAGTGTGTATCCCACAAAAGGATACGGCTCGTGTTGTCCAAGATTTTGTGACTGTGAGAGTGCCTCACTGCACTCTC